GTCGTTGACAGAAGGTTCAATGCGTGCGCCGTGCAGGACGTTCGTTGTCTGACCTATCGAGAGTCCGTTCAATTCTTCCGTCATAGCGGGTAGCGCGCGCTATTGTAGCTACGCCACGAATTACTGCGCTTGTTAATGGCTCTTCTGTGCGAGCACCGGCAACAGCCGAAGGCAGACCATGAGCAGGAGTAGTATGGTGTTCTATTTTAATCTGCTTTTGCTCTAACTGAGTGTCTATGTAACCCAATAGGGTATATTTATTTATCCCGCCATTTGTGTAAGTTACCCTCCCCATGTTGGAAAAGTATCTGCGAAGGGTCATATCCCCGGGGATAAGTCCCCCTCTCCCTGCTTGGAAAGCGTCAAACGAGGCTTGACATCTTCTAACAGGAAGTCAGCCTCCTTTTTCATTTGGCGATGATAGTCATGACAAGCTGTGACCCAAGGGCAGATTCATTTAATCCTCAACATGTGGGGCAGATTCGATTTTAAACCCCCACTTAGAAGCAATGGGTGCAATGGGTGCACTGGTACTTCCATTATTCAATGTTGTTATATGGGACCCTTGACCTTGACCTCTTACATACCTCCCATCCTTCGGGATAGCCTGTAGGATAGGGTCGAAACAGGATACTTTTTGTTTAGAAACCATCGCCCGAGGGTGAGTAGATCGTATACCCTCAGGTAGCATGGAGGTAGACTGAGGTGTACCTATATCCTCCAGAGTGACCAGCCCTTGGCTACTGACCTACTGACCACCCTTAGGTGTAGTCAGTAGCATAGTGGCTGTAATAGAGGTCTTCTTTGGAGGCGAGGTAGCACAAGCCGCCATGCTCTTTTCTGATTTTTTAAGAGCCTCGGTCTCCAATGTAACCACTAAGTCCCTAAACAGGACCTGAAGCTCCTTAAATTGATGCTACATGTCCATCACTGCATCCTCCTGTCTATTTACCCTATCTGTCTGTGCTGATGTCGACAGGGATGGTGACTGCACCTCTACAGGAGCGGTGACCATTATGCCCGTGATAACCCCATCACATAGCCATCTCTGCCACTTTTCAATGCCTCTCCTGGAATTAGACATACTTTTTTGTAGGGTGCGGTCGCCCTCACCTCTTATCTCAATGATTTTCTGCGCCGTCGCAGGGCCTAAACCCTCCAACGTGCACAGCTCATGCTCTATAGCTGAACGTAAATTGATCCCAGCCATCCTCAAATATGAGACGCTGTTATCAAAATATGGATTAGTTTCTATGGTGTAATAAATAAACAAGTCAAAACACTTAACTAAACAATTACAAAATTATGCACAAGGACAGTATACTAACGCTGCTACAAGTAGACACGTGTATATGTCCCGTACAAAATTCAAACGATTTCAAATATATAACAATTAACAGTTAAAAAATCGAATTCCAAAAATATCTAATTTCTATCCTAGTGTAATATAAACCTAGCTAAATTAACCTAACAGTACATATAATTACTATTCTACGATATAAAACTAACAACTCGCCTGTCATTTGTTTTCCGCCAATATGGGCGGCCCACTATACAGGCGAATGGAGCTACCTAACAAAGTAACAACTAAACTAAACAAAATATTAATATCAGAACGGCAACAAACCGCTGACTCTGAAATACCCCTAATAAATATTTAAATAAATAACAATAAACAATAAAAACGTTCCCAAATTCTCTCAAGAAATTTGCGCATTGGCCACATAGGCTAGTGCACGTGGCGAGCGAGAAGGGAACCAGCAAAGTGAGAAAAAAATACAAGTAAAAAAGTTGACAAAATACGTCAGACATAGCGTCAGTTCGACGACCTGCTGACACCAAATGTGGTGATTTTGGTGCGTGGTCACACACCGTCACTACATGTATTTGAGAACTGCTCTCATGTCCCAAAATCTATTAGAATATGCGGAGGAAAATTACTCACGTGTGTTAAGGTTGAAGTCAGGATGTATCAATGTTGTCGGCGCGGTAAGCGGTCTAAGGGAGATAACTCTCCCAAAAATTCACCACAACTTCGAACGCTTTAGACATAAATATTCTCAATTTCAATTTTCCTTACAAAAATGATGTAAAGTTTTTCCGTGTTTCATTTACCTTCCAAAAAATCAACAACGATGATACCACGGACTTCTCTTCCTCAGTTCCAAATATTTACACTTACCCACCGTGTGGCAGCAGCAGCAACCTCCCACTACAAAACTCTGCCTTAAAAGTAATATAGGTGACGTGCCAACATAAGTGTTATAAGTTTCAGACATCATTTCCTCAATTTCAGTGTATAAATATATTTGTTGATATGTTAAAGATTGAACCTGTTCCTCGGTAATCCTATAATAGGCAAGACCACATATCAATGTAGACAATACCCAAAACGAGTTTTTACAGTATAGGATGATGGAGGTCTCATGCTTAATAGCAATATAACGTTTACTATTATATCTCGTCTGAAAATACAATATCTACTTTATAAGATGTATGATAGATTTGAGCATAAATGTCGTCAAGATTGGTACGTCAAGACTAATGAGGCAAAAACCCAAGACAGGACACAACGATTGAGAGATAAATAGACTCATCGGACAGACACTAGCGAGGAAAGGAGAGACATTTTGATGGTACGGACGAGGAGAACCTACATAACACGGAATGAAGTGGAGAAAATCTGAACTGCAATTGACTTGGAGCATTGCTTTCTGAATATGTTTAATTTATAGCAATTTGTTTATTATCATCATGCACTTTTTCATTGGTCAATATTTTCCATATTTTCATTTCCTTTCTTTTTCAGCGAATTCCGGTCTGATGTTTAATCTCACTAATATTCATTGATTTTTACTTTGAAGTTATTTTATTGACAAATTGTGCATACTAGGACATGGTTCCGTTTTGGGAAATTGTCTGTTAAAGTCAAAGTTTGCATGTTTTTGTTCTTGAATGAAAATAAAAGAGTATGATTTTGGGCAGAAGATACAGGTTTTGTTTATGCAATTTTGTTTGGTTTAAGGCGGATATTTGTCATTCATCCATCAATAATTAATCCTCAATCAGCCAATCAACCAATCAGTAAATCAATATTTTGCTGTTATATTATAAGGGACATAACTCATGTTTACTTAGATTTCAAACTTTTGGCTAGCACATTATGGACAGGCCTCGTTCTAAACTTCATTTCTTTTGATCGTTTTGGCATTTGTCCAACTTTGTTAATTTAACATAAATGTACTTGGGAAGGATTTTCACTTGAAGTTGTCATTTGGTCGACAGACTATAAACAATAAACACTGACGTCATGCTTTATACCAGATGTTTATTTCAATCAATCAAAAACACCAATCTATCGGCATCGCTCGTCAACAAATAAAATCAGCATTCGACAGATTAACAAACATTATTTTGAGACTTTTGCGAAAAGTTCATCAGGACATTCTGACCTTGAGCTTGACAAATTAAACTTAAATATAGATGTTAAATTGAAACATTTTTGTTTGTCCGCTAGTAAATCTTGAAATACATACAACATTAAATGTGTATACAAATGGAGCCTGATTCGACAAAGGACACCAGCCACGTGGCTCGCTTGGTTTACATTTGCGGGAGAGATTCTTGGAAGAGCATTGGTCTGTTTGGAAATAATACACGCATGCATATAGTAGTTTATCGTCCAATTGTACTTGGTTATTTATCGGAGACGCAGTTGAATAAAATTAGAACACACACAACACACCACCACCTGTTTCGTGTCACATTAGACGCAAACACTATTCTACTTGAATTACAAAATATATTGAGTAATCATGGGACCTAAACATGATACACAATCGCATAAAACCCGCACAAAATACCATCGATTGTGACGGCATCTGTTTTAAACAATTCACGCATGGATAGACCCATGTCAAATGTTAAGTAAGGATAAGTTTACATGGAAAAGTATGGAACATATACATGTACGCCAGCACTAGAACATTATAGAAGTCAGCACCAACATTATTACTTCAACATACTTATAGGAGTATAAAGGATAATTTTACAAGGGGGATATATATTAAGTGTAACAAGGAGAAGTCTACAAGCAATGATTGGGAGACGCCTTCTAGGAGCTTTTTATGATATTTTCATGTCTTTTAAATCATAATATGATATTTAAATTTAATTTTGATACCTGTCTTTGAAATGGTTTCATGGACTCATAGCACGAACCTCATGTCTATGGCATGTTAAACTGTATTAACTTATTAAGTAGTACATAATTAAACCAATAAAGGGTGCAAATAAACAGACAGCACCAAACAGGTAAATAGTTCAACGTAATGCATGCATTGACTTTTTAAATGTCATAGAAACATTATATTGAGAACCCATGTAAAGCTTTTGTTGAGTATCGCGTGTGTTGTAACGTATACTAGCAGCGATTTGTAATCTGAACACAAATGTGGTATACAGGGTCATATAGGTATGCTTCGTACGTTGGCACACATATTCTTTTATATTTAGGCGTATATCATGGTTATATTCATAGCGATTAGCTTGTTAATGGACTTTGAGCGTTATATATCACAATGCACTAGTTAGTTATTTTACATCATAACAAAATGTTTTAACAATAATATTTCTTACCACTAAGTAGAAATGATTAAATATTTTTGATAACAGGGTGTTCATCGTGTTTGTAAAAACATACATTTCAAGGCAATAAACTGAAAAGTTTTGCCCTTGATGTTTCATCAGTGTATATTTTTAACAATTTTTATTGGTGTGGATTGTACACTCAAATGAGTCGAGTAACTGGCAAGCCTATATCAATTATCTTAATAAGTGGCCAAAATGAAAAGAATTATTTTGATAATGAAATCCATAAGTAGGTTTTTACTGTGAAACAAAAATATGTATCGACAAAGTAATAGAACAAACAAGGGAAATAACTAAGATATATAAACAAAAACAAAACGCAACACATTTCAACACAACAAACAAACTCGGAGAGTGTACTGAAAAGTTACAATAGAACACTTGTACATACTAACCTTGTCCGAGAGCAAAATCACTTGACTTAACTTCATGTGAAAATCTTATGAACATATCATTGATACTCTGGACTGCACAATCTTAATATTGTTAGTACATTCAATTAAAAAAATTCAATACAATATTACAGAGTTGTACAGAAACAACATATACCTGCTGAAATTAGGACTCAACAGTCAGTCAACACCACATCAAGTTAGTCAAAAAATCAAAAAATGTTGTTTAGTCCTAGGTTCTGATTTCGTCCTTTATTTGACAATGCAGAAGTTTTTTGTTCTAAATTCAGTTTTAAGAAGACGCTATTTACAACTGTATTGACCGACCTTGATGGTATTGTATTGAAAGATATCACAACTCAACTTTTGTAACTTATATCCTTATCAAAACTAGTCTGGTTATTATCTCACTGTTGTCAACGATATCCGATCATGCACATACTCGTCATACGTTAGAAGAAGAACGTATCACATATACGTGTAAGATATATTTGTTATGATACAAGATACCAGAGTTTTTATTTAACGTCGCACAATTGAACAATTAACATTAGCACTGTAGCGCTGTTCTTGCGACAAGCTAGACATATTACATGTGCTTATCAAATATCCTACACAAAGGTGCCTCAATCCGTCTGAACCAATCAAAACGAGGCAGACGGCAAGCAGGAGCTTGTATTACATATATTAGACGGACGCAGTCGTTGGTTAACATCTAACTTCCTGGTTAATACACTGAAACTGGACAAGTGGCAGATGTTGAAAATACGGTTGTTACAGATTCATAAAAGGTAATCATGTTCTTTTTTGTTTTTACCATATATTCCAAATTGGTAGATAAAATAGGTCGATTTAAAGTGTATATATTAACCTTATCATAATAAACCTTTATATTCATGTATGGACCATTAACCAATTATCAATGGTGCGCTATATAAATTTTGAGAAGTATTCAATAATGAAACAACAGTTACAGCTGCGTTCAGAATCATTATAAAATCAGTTATATATTCCCATATCCGTTGATTTTATCACCCAACAAACGTGATAAGTAATGAATATAAAGGTGGTTATATATCTTTAAATAGTACAACATTTATATCCTTGTTTTCAATGAAATTTAAGGAGTTACTATTATCTTTACAACGCTATAAGTATCATTTGTCGGAGAGGGATAATTTCTGTAAAAGGTGAGCACTGCTAGAACGTAGAACGATTATGAATTTGATTACATTGTTTTGTTGCTTTACACACATCTGTATATATTGCATATCTTGACACAGTAAATACACTCCTACAATTGTTGATTTAGACATAGTATGTCTTGACATAATGACATACACACTTAAACATAGGGTATGTGTCGACATAATAACATACACACTACAACAAATAGTATGTGTCGACATAATAACATACACACTACCACATTCAGTATATTTTGACATAATGACATACACACTGCAACATAGGGTATGTGTCGACATAATAACATACACACTACCACATAGGGTATGTGTCGACATAATAACATACACACTACCACATTCAGTATATCTTGACATAATGACATACACACTGCAACATAGGGTATGTGTCGACATAGTGACATACACACTACAACAAATAGTATGTGTCGACATAGTGACATACACACTACAACATATAAGTATATCTTGATATAATGACATACACACTCAATCATATAGTATATCTTGACATAATAACATACAAACACCAACATATTGTATATCTTGATATTATGACATTCATGCTCCAAGATATATGTTTACATGTATATGGGACCATTCCATATGCATTATAATTTTATAAGAGTCGATTTGGGTCGATTAAAAAACACTGAAATACCATTTCTAAATTTAAGAGAAATATAGAAAGATCAGCTGAAAAATGTAGCTAGAATATAGAAAAATACTTGAAAAATCAAGATTATATGTTTAAACACGAAAGCGTATATATTGATAAGCCATTTCTCAATGTACACCAACCACGATTGTCATCACATAACGTTCGTCCATAGTCCGCACAAATATGCGCAAGCAATAATCGTCCAAATTTTTATCGTTCGCACTTCGTGCACACATCGTGCACGGTGCACACATCGTTCACACACAGTACATCGTGTTACGTTGTGCGATCAGACAACTGTATAACAGCGTCAACACACACTGAAAAAATATATTAACCCCGTCGACACACAAGGAAACGAGAAACACAATGATCCCGAAACATGTTTGACACGGAAATATTGTTAATTTCTATAAGGAAACTTAAAAGACTGATATTTCTATAAAAGTAAACATTCTTGTACTTGTACACTGAACATCAGAATTTCCTTATTACGTGTATCAAGTTTGTTTTGCTCATGACAAGGAAATGTTACGATGTGTGTCGTCTTCTTTATTAGTTGAGAGGAACTCTAGATATAAGGAAGCAGTTGTCGTTGTTATTGTGTACTTTGCAGTGAGTAAATGTCCTTACTACATTCATGAAGTCAATTTAATAGTTGAAACTTTAACAGAGGATTATCTATTGCATTGCAAGAAGGGGATCATTCCATATTTCTCTAGAATTGTAGTTCTTATAAGCTACACACCGCCTAAATGTCCTTTCATAAGTTCTGCTAAACCTCGAAACACCGAATCCAGTACATTGACGTTTTTGCTGCACTATGAAAAGACGTCATTTTGTAATACATTTAACTTCCAACAATAAATCAAAGTAACAAGTGTTCTGGTAGCAATGGCTCCTCCTACTGGAGATGGGCAACGAACTGCGTCAATCTTCTTTCCTAGCCTATTATTGTTATTGTAATGTATAAATTGGAGCAAATTACATTTATCTTCAGTATGAATACATTAATGAGTTGCAGAATAGAATAAACAAGAAAGCCCTCAAAAGGCGTTAACAAATTAAAGCTTTAAACATATAAGTGGTATATAACGCACATACACTAGCTACGTAACTCCAAAACGAAAACATATATCACACAGAACGCACGTGGAATCCGTACAAACACGCACGTGTACAATTACATGTACAGTAAGCCTTATAGAAAAGATACAAATTGACAAAATGAAACTCAAATAAAAACATATTAAATACGAAATAATGTACCTTATTGCCACATACGAGGTATCAATGTGAACTCAATCACATGGACAGAGGAAACTGACTAGTCACGATAAAATCAAATGAAGATGAAATGGATATGCACTAAAATCTTAATGTATTCTAACAGATTTAATGCAATATTTATCACAGTACAACATTTATACCCTTGTTCTCAATGACATTGAATGAGTAACTCTGATCATTACAACACCATTCCATTTGTCTGACAGGGTAGTTTCCGTAAAAGATGAACATTGCTACATCAATGAAAAAACGTATAGAATGAATGAGAATTTGAGTGCATTGTTTTGTTGGTTTCTAATTAGCAAAATTATGATATACACACTAATACATGTACATATGTCATGTCTTAATACAGTAACATTCTTACTCATACACATATCATTTCTAAATGTAATTGTAACCACACTGATCAGTTATAATGACATAGACACACCAACATATATTGTGTCTTGACATAAAGACATACACAATCCAACATATATTATGTTTTAACATAATGCCATACCAACTTAAATATATAGACTGAATGATGCACATGCTCATAAAATAAGCAAAATGAGAATGCACAACAGTCAGAAAAATATTAATTCGAACTCAAAATCGACAATCTAAAATCTAGGTCAAACCCAAGTAATAGCACCTCCTCAAAGCGAGATTTTTGGTACTGACAATAAAACCTTAAGACATATTAGAAATTTAATAAAAAACATCGACCAGCATATCGTACAAAGCAATAGCATATTTCCTTTGAGATCGTAATGGCGACTATGAAACAATTGCTAATTTGTCTCCCAGTAGTCGACATCTATCACGGACGTCATGATATTCGGAGCAAGCTCTTAAATACCGAATGAACTGAGACATGTACACATTGTAGGAAGTGGATGTATGGATGTAACTATCAAGAAAGAGAACTTTTGCTAAAGTAGTATGTCGTTCAGGTTGATGATGTTTTAAGTGAAGATTGCGGACAACCACTGTGGTAAAATAGTCTGTAGTGTCACTAACTGCAAGCTCATGATTGTATATACAGACAATGTGATCATACATTTACAGCATATCTAGACAAAAACACTCATACGAGAGGCATATCCAGACATTATGAAATACACACGCATACGCTTATACTGTTTAAATATAACAACAAACACGCTCACATGTGTTGTATGTCTAGATATAATGACATCCACACCAATAAATATAGCGTGTCTAACAATAAGCACATTCATTGCATTATACGATTGCAGGTTTTACCACGTATTACGTAAATGCTATTAATAAACCGGATATCACGTAGTCTGATGTCCCATGATCTCAATTCTCGTTTATTTGTTACTTCCGGTTTGACTGGAGAATTATACATTGAATTCTAATAGATCACACTTCTTATTGAACGTGGTATGGTTTTTATTTATATAACTTGTAAAAATGCACATACCCATTTTTGATAAATCACAATATTAAAAGAAGCTCTTAAGGAAATGCATGAACAAAAACGGTTTTGATTGGATGGAATTAAGCACTTCATATTAGTTCATTGAAGAATCATAAATATCGCTAATGAAAAAAGGTGGGTTTTTTAAGGCAGTGTACTTGGAATATGCTTGTTTGGCAACATAATTCTGTTTTTGAAATATAAAACGTTTCTGCAGGGCTCATGTGCCGATATCTGAAAATGGACGTTCAAGGTATCCCCAATTATGCAAATTTAAATGCGTCTTCGATTCTATTTAACGTTTTTGGGGTTCAAAAGCAGATCTGTTTTTGAATCAAATATAAATACCCTGTCCATGGCTACAAAAACTTGAATACTGATAAAATACAAGAGTGATTTTGACACTAGACACTGCGAAGATAGGTTGTTGAGGTACTAAACAATGTATAGGTTGGTTATTGGAGGGCTTTACATATAAAATTGCACAATGTACAGATTGGCTGTTTAGGTACTGGACAATGTGCAAATTGTTTGTTGAGGTTCTAGACAATGTAAAGATTGGTTATTGAGGGTCTTGACATACAAAGTTTGGTAGTTGAGGCACTGGACTATGCATAGACTGATTGTTGAGTTACTGGACATTGGATAGAATGGTTTTTGAAGTATTGGACAGTATTTCATGTTATACAGTACCTCAACTTAATCAATACATCGTCCAATACCTGAAAACCATTCTATACATTGTCCAGTACCTCCACAATCAATCTTTACACAGATCATTACCTCAACAACCAATCTATACACTGTATTATACCTCAAAAACCATTATATACATAGTCCAGTACCGTAGTTACCAAACTTTGTATGTCAAGCACCTCAGGAACCAATCAATATATTGTCTAGTACATCAACAACCAATGTATACATTGTCCAGTACATCAACAACCAATCTGTTCATTGTCCAGTACCTAAACAGCCAATCTGTACATTGTCCAGTACCTCAGCAATTAAACTATACATTGTCCAGGTCCTGTCCATGACTAAAAACACTTTAATACTGTTCAAATATAAGAGTTATTTTGACACAAGACACTGCGAAGAGGGGTTGTTGAGGCAATTTAATTTACTCAGTACCTCAACAAACCATCCATAAAGTGTCTAATACCTCAACAACTAATCTATACATTGTCAAGTGCCTCAACAATCAATCTATACATTGTAAAGTACCTCACCAATTAATCCATACATTGCCCAGTACCCCACGATTTAATCTATCCATTGTCAAATACCTCAACCATCATTCTATACATTTTCAAGTTACTCAGATATTAATTTATATCCGGTACCAAAACAATCAGTCAATACCGTATAGCATGAAATGTTCGTTGTATAAAAACATTCCTGGTTTTTGTGGATGCTACGGTGTCAGGAAAAATGAATACGACGAATTTAATTGATATATTTGATTTGTCTTTGTTCACATGGGGAATCTCCGAATATTGTACCACGAAACGATCGAAATGGTTTCAAACCACGAAAGAAAATACCCGAAAAAAAGTGTATAGATTGGTCGTGAGGTACTGAACTAGGTACACATTGGTTGTCGAGGTACTGGACAATGTATAGAATGGTTTTGAGGTATTCGACAATGGATAGATTGATTGTTGAGGTCCTGGACAATGTATAGATTGAATAGTGATGTACTGTGAAATGTATAGATTGGTTGTTGAGGTACTAGAACATTTATCAGTGGAGTTTTGAGGTACTGGACACTGTGTAGATAGATTGTTGAGGTATTCAACAATGTATAGATTGGTTATTGAGGGGCATGAAATATACAATTTAAAAGTTGACGTACTGGACTATGTATATATTGACTGTCCTGGTACTGTGTCAATCTACACAGTATCCAGTACTTTGAAAACCAATCTAAAACACTATCCAGTACCTCAACAATCAATCAACAAAAACCATTTTATTCATTGTCCATTACAATTTATCAATACATTATATGTACCTCAACAACTAATCTGTAGACTGTCCAGTACATCAATAATCAATCTGTACACTGCCAAGTATCTCAAAAACCTATCTATATACTGTCTAGTACCTCAACAACGAATTTGTACATAGTCCAAAGCCTCAACAGTCAATCTATACATTTTCAAAATCCTCAACAATCAATCTATACATTGTCCAGTACCTCAACAATCAATCAATACATTCTCCAGTGACTCAACAATCAATCGATCCATACATCAACAACCATCCTATACAATGTATATTACCACAACAATCAATCTATACATAGTCCAGTACCTTAACTTCCAAATGTTAAATGTCGAGCCCCTAAATAACCAATCTTTACAATGTCTTATAACTCAACAACCTATCTATATTTTGTCAAACATCTTAACAATCTACCTACACATTGTCCAGTACCTCAAAAATAAAATGATACATTGTCCAGTACCTCAACAATCAAATGATACATTGTCAAGTGTCTGGTTTTGGAAAATGTACAAATAGGTTGTTGAGGTACTCGACAGTACACAGATTAGTTATTGAGGTACTGGACAGTCTACAGACTGGTTGTTGAGGTACATATAACGTTTTGATAAATTGTTAAGTAATGGACAATGAATACAATTTTTCTTTTTTAATTGATTGTGGAATCACTGGACAATGTATTGATTGATTGTTGAGGTACTGGACAGTGTCTAGATCGGTTTTCAAGGTACTGGATGATGTATAGATTGAATGTTTAGGTACTGGACAGTGTCTAGATTGGTTTTCAAGGTACTTGAGAATGTAAAGATTGATTGTTGAGGTATTTGACAGTGTATGGATATATTGTTGAGGTAATGAACAATGTAAAGATTGATCTCTAAGGTACTGGAGAATGTATAGAATGGTATTTTAGGCATTAGATAATGTACAAATTGGTTGTTGTGGTACTGGACAGTGTATAGATTGGTTATTGAGGGACTGGGCTGTGTATATATTGGTTATTGAGTTATTGGCCAATGTATAGAATGGTTTTTGATGTATTGGGCAATGTTTCTATTGGGTGTTGATATACTGGACAATTATTTGGTTGTTGGGGTACTGGACAATGTATACATTGATTGTTGAGGCTTTAGACAATGCACAAATTGCTGTTGAGGTACTGGACAATGTGTATATTGGTTGTTGAGGTGTTGGACATTAGACAGATTGGTTGTTGATGTACTGGAAAGTGTACAGATTGGTTATTGAAGTACTGGACAATGTGTAGATAGATCGTCGAGGTATTGGACAATGTATTGCCCTGGTTGTTGAGTTACTAGACAATGTATAGATTGGTTATTGAGGGGCTTGGCATATATAGTTTTGTAGTTGAGGTACTGGACTATGTAAAGTTGATTGATGAGGTACTTGACATTGTAAAAAAGAGTTTTTTTGAAAGTGTATAGATTAGTTGTTGAGGTAATAGACAGTGTATGAATTGATTGTTGTGGTACAGGACAATGTATGATTTAGTATTTGCGTTACTTGAAAAGGTTTCGATTGATTGTTGAGGAATTTGACTATGTATATTATCATTGCTGAGGTACTCGACACTGTATGGATTGGTTGCTGAGGTACTGGACATGGTATAGATAGATTTCTGAGGTAATTGAGAATGTATTGATTGATTGTAGATGTACTGAACAATGTATATATTAAATGGTGAAGTACTGGACAATGTATAGATCTGTATTTAAGGTATTGGACAATGTATGAAATGGTTTTTGAGGTAGGAAACAATTTATAGATTGTTGAGGTTCTGGACAATTTATAGATGGATTTTTGAGGTACTGGACACTGTGTAGATAGATTGTTGAGGTACTGGACACTGTGTAGATAGAATGTTGAGGCATTGGACAATGCATAGATTGGTTGTTGATTTATTAGACAATGTATAAATTGGTCATTTATGGGCTTGACTTATTCAATTTAATAGTACTAGTCTAAGTATAGATTGATTGTTGAGGTTCTGCACAATGTATAGAATGGTTTTTGATGTATTGGACAAAGTACATATTGGTTGTTGAAGTACTGGACAATGTTTTGATTGTTGAGGTACTGGACAAAATACATTGATTGTCGAGGCTTTTTGACAATGTACAAATTGGTCTTCAATGTCTAAATTAGTTGTAGAGGGATTTGACATTAGACAGATTGGTTTTTGTTGTCCACCAAAAATACAACAACAGCCTCATTGATGTTGATAGATAACAGAGTGAAAAAAGACTTTCCTACAGTACAGATATATAACAACTTTGCACAAAACAGATCCAACCACTATTTTGTACATTATCGATACATCTGTAACTTTGTATAGCTCACAAGCAATTATTTCTTTATTATAAACTACACTTTTCTCGTTTACCATAGAAACTCCTATACCATTATTTAGGTATTTTGGGCGTCACAGGTATATCTATATTTGTGTTTGATTATCACACAAACATGTACAAGTTAGTGCGTACCTTTGTTATGCACTTAGTTGAACAATTGACCAAATTAATTCAGGGCTTTTGGTCCCTAGAAACACCTAAAAACTAGAGTCCTAAAAGGAGGAAATAGCTGGCTGTTACAGTAAATCATTTTTGGCACACTGTATTAATAAAGAAATCGCACAAGTGCAATCACAGCTGTGTGCGTTCATCTTTAAAGATTTAAGGTTTGCTGGTGGGTATCATGAAAGCCACAGTTTGCTATTTTTAGGAAAGGCACGGTTCATAATATATTCATTTTACGAATTATTAGTACTCCTTTCTTAGTTTTCATTCATTTAATTTAATGTCTTTATGAACAGAAGTTCATAAGTTCAAGTTTGATTCCCAGCTTTTAGCTTCTAGCATCACTGATGAATTAAAAAAGCTGTATTCTAGTGCAATTACAACATTTTGTTAAAACATTGACATATGTAATACTTATATTAATCATACAATTACAGTTTAGAATTTACATCACTCAGATAAAGATATGCGGTTGTTAAAAACTCAATGATACTATATATACTGTATATATCTCATTTGAAACCTCATTTTTCCGTTTGAGACGAATATCAAGTTGTACATCACACGAAAAACTACACTATACATGCACACAACAAAGAACTTGTTTGTATATCACGTTTTACATCATCAATTAACCTACAAGGTCATTTTTGCATCATAGATAATACATGCACAAATAAACTTCATTTTGCTGTTCAACGATACAACTATATCTTTGTAAATTACAGCTATATGCACCATTTTATACATTAAATATACTTCAACATTGCTTTGTTTCCCGTTTACAATCATATCTTTGTATTAGATTTCTCATATATTCAACTACAACATTATTATAAAATCTCAGATACAATTTCTTACATCATATACATTATTTCAACTTTGTGCATCAATGTTGTTTGTAAATCACAGATATATATTGTAATGAGTTGACTTGCTAACAAATTGTATAACGTTATTCATAAAAGGATCTTTTTATGAAAAGATAACATTTTAGTTCACACAAATATAACTACAATTTGGAAGTTCATCTCAGGGACAATTTTATATATAAAACTTTATTTGACCATACCGTATACAACTACAGCAAGGTTTGTATACAAGGAGCAACTCAAAACATCACAAGTGCAACTTTATGATTGCTAGATTAAAACACATACTTAAAACCTTGTATATACTCCATACATACAACTACAACTGTGTTTCTGCATCACAGATACAACTCGTTTTGTTCGTTACAGATGCAACTTAATTGTTTCTTTGATCAACATCATTGCAAAAATGAAACAACATATTGAAAGTTGCAATAAAATATTTTTGTGTTCATATTGCGATAAATTCACAGCTTTTAAAAAACGTTTGTCGACCTAAAATAATCAATCTATGTTTTTCGTTCCCCCTCCAGAACCACAATTCCAACGACAGAATGAATCACCAAGTGGCGTCGTCCAAAATAGGGACATCCAATCTTCGGATGCCTTACCTGCCGACATCCGAAGAGAAGCCCAACCTGGTGGCGGCGGGCATGTACATGTAGCACCGAGATATGTGGTCCACATCAGATCACTTCAGACCTGGCTGTTACCTCACAAACGAGCTATAGGCGGTCGTCATAGGATGACGATATCTACAAAGCAGGATAGTCACCCTGTGAACAGAAGACGGTAGTTCAATGTCAAGTATGTTAAATATTATGTTCCTATCATTTATCAATTTTATGTTCTCATTCATTTTAAATGATACTGCATACTTCTCTGAAGATTGGAAGAGATAAATATATAAAACGAAGTCATGTACAGTTTTAATAGAAATACCATGTGAAATCTAGAAAACGTTTCAAATATTCACAGTTAAATATCACATACCTTTAATAACACTAGCATTACAGATAACAAATATTAAACACACACTCAATACCAAGCTAATCTTAATACATGAAACACATCTTTGCCGTAAAGCCACCTCTTATCTAAGGTATAATCCTGTCATACTTAAATATGTTGCATCCTAATTAAATCAAAGTAAAATCCATCAATGAGTAGACATCTAATTGATTAGGAGACAATATCAAAGTATGGTTGACGTTTATTATGTAAAGCGCCCTACAACAGTATTTATTTTGTATTTTAACAGGAAATGAAGAGAACAAGCAATCCTGAGAAAACTTATTACGGCCATGTTTTTACCTACATCAAATTCCTTGTTCTTCTTAACTGTTACTGTGAGAAAAATCTACTGATAAACAACGAATACAAGGACAATTATCCACTGCTCTTTACGACTATTCCTAGTGGGTCAGACAACATATTTATATTTGCTTGATTTAGTGCTATATATCATCACATAAACTAGCAACTTTGTATAATCTACTGATAAACAACGAACACAAGGACAATTATCCACTGCTCTTAACGATTATTCCTAGTGGGTCAGACAACATATTTCTATTTGCTTAATTTAATGCTATATATCAATATATAAACTTGCAACTTTATATTTGATACAAATGCTTTATACATAAAAATATGAAGTAGTCAATTTAAAAAAAAAAGATTTTGATGTGGTACAATTCGAAGACCTTATGTAACAGCAGCCATCCTGATCAATTATTGTTCGTAGATCTGGAAACAATATGTATTGATACAGAGTATTAGCTAATACTGATAAATCATAAGCATAGATACTATATATAACTACTGATACACAATAATCAAAAATGCTTATCACAAACAAAAAACATGTCTAATTTACTGCCATAGCCACCATCTAACTATCGGACAAAGGGAGATAATTACGAATTTTAGCTTTCTTACCAAATTTAGACTTACAGTGTGTAAGGAAATATTTCACACTGGTGGAGTTAGAATTAACTAGAAATACCTACATTAAAGTTTGACAAAAATATTTAAACAAAAATTCCCTTATTAAGACTATTTTTTTGTAATTTCAGTATTTTATTAGTCAATTATTCATCGCATTGCCCTATAGAAGTTACATTATCTTACTCAGTTCAATCTTATTCAACTTTCTACGTAATGACCTAATAGTTAAAGTGAGAAGAACTATTATAACTAAAGTATATTGTGAGGGCTGATTGGTATTAACATTATTGTATAACAAGTTGGCACCTATTCCCGATAAAAGCCCCATTAATGTATACATAAATGTAGGTGCCACTGTTCTCATTTGCATTTCCTCTTTTACCTTCTAATACTTATATAAAACCCTATCTGAGTCACAGTTCTATTTTACTTTTTAGTACTTGTATTAGTACTTACCAGAGTGATAGTTGTATTAAACTCGTTGGTACAATATAAGTTCCTGTCAGAGTCATTTTTTTTTCTAATAGTACTTACCTTGGTAATAGTCCAATGCTACCCCTTGTACTTCTATAACTTGCTCTGTTAGTGTGAGTAGAAATCTATATCTGATACATACCTTCCTCTGATTTATTTGCCAACTGTTTTGCTCCCTGCATCGCCGATGAGCCCTAGAAGGACGAAACAGCTGTATGATGTAGTATGTTTAGCATGCTGTATCTATTACCTGTATTTAATGATGTATTCACCTGTGTGTGTTTTACGTTCATCTTACTGATCTGTTTGCTATCTTTAACTTAATGCTGTGTTGTCTAACAATGTTTTTATTTTATTAAAGTTGAAGTCACAACAAACATTCCTATCAAATATTTCATGCATAAATTAATTGAGATTTGTTTTAATTTCATATGAAATAATTGCTGTAGACATTTATTTTTGCAATTGTAATATGAACACACAGTTAACACGTAACGTCCAAAGTCACTTAAAAAAGCATTGTGCGAGTTTTGGGCGAAAAGTGTGAGTTGAGAATATGCAAAAATTATTAAGGTAAAGCGAGTCATATCTAATCGCAAAATCAATTGAATGTTTCATTAAACAAAATAATATAGATATGATCATTTTTTTGCTTCAAATTAGCAAATTTTTGCCTATTTCGAAAAGATACGTATCGATTGATCAATTGATTTATTGATTGGTAGCGTCACTCGTTGCGTGCTAATTATATACAGTCAGTATACGTAACAGAATTGTTGTTGACAACAGTTTTATTTAGTGGTTTGTTTCTATAGAACATGATTGTATCTAAATTTATCTTATGATTTATTTTCTCTGGAAATGTGTTTGTGTCGATGCAATCATCATATTGTGTATTTATTCATACAATGACATAAATCCCTCCGTCCTCGTTGGCAATTTTACATATCTTAAAACAAATCGATAAACGTGCCATTTATGTACCATATTTCAATACGTTTTGATGGCGGTTAGCGATCATGGCTAAGAAAAATCTCTCTGTGTTCTCTATGAAATGGTTGGGGACATAATTATGAGCACTGATTATCATATCACTCAAAGTAGGAATATTAATATTCACAAAATGCACCCCAAATTAATGACAAATGCTTTTAAAGATAAAATGATTTGTCAAGTCAATGACTAGTTACTACCATATTAGTACACCCTATTTTCGGTTTTAAACAAATGGTTTTATGATTGTACATGTCTTTACTTTTGTCGTTATGGAAATAAATCCTGTGTGTCAAGTACATGATGTTTGTTGATCTTTATCGCAAGGCTTTACCCATGCTGAGGACGTTAAGGTGACAATACTAGTGAAGCTGGAACACGACCAGGCTTTAGTCTGTTACTGTAATTTAATAAGCCTATAATTAACCGGAACAGACGACATTTTTGGAAAAATAACATGTGGTAAGTGTCTTAAAAGCTGTGTTTTTGGCGAGGGTAGAGAAAGGATAGTAGAGACCGAGTTTACAAGGGGTAGACTGGACCAGATTGACGAGGGCATGAATACAAATATCTATGTCACACCTGTTACGCCATTTTATTATAAAACCACACTCGCAAATGTTGGAAACGATCTAGTTAAAAGAGAATATGTTTACCTGTGGAATGAGTCTAATACGCATCTAAAGTGGATTCAGAAATCTTGGTTGAGCATAAAAAGGAATGTAAAAATGTCTGTCAATGTATTAATGAAACACAGTATTCACAATTTGTACTGACATACACTCAACAACCCTTGTGACACCAGCAAGGGCATATAACATTTTTTTACATCATCACTGTCATTCGTGAACGATTAAACGATTTCAATCGTTGATGTCTCAAAGGAAAACATGAATTACAGAAAGTTTTATAGGGAGAGGATCCAAGATCGTGAACGATTAAACGAATTCAATCTTGATATTACCTAAAAATCTCACAAAGAGAAAAAAATAATTGTAGAAAGCTATATAAGAAGAGCAAACAAACAGTTGATCTGAAACACCATGATATTTTAAGAAGCCAGGGATGAATTTTCAACTGGTGAAGGGGAAATCACTCTTTTAACTTGAGGTATTATGTCGCAAATATTTTTGTAACAATTTTACCATTGAAATTAATGATGTCGCGGATATTATTGATACTTTCGTACTTTGACAAACGATACTTTTTGTTATTTTCACACTAACCTGACCAATTAAGAACATGGGTAAGTGTGAAAATTAACCAGCAAAGGATATCGTCAGTTGTGATGTTAATATGTTGAGACGTCAAAATACAGGATTACCACATGTTTCTGTTCACGGAAGCAGGTGTCTTTATAAACAAAAATAAACAGAATATGCTTGGTGTTCTCATGAAAAACACTTATAGTTCACTCGTGGAATGGAGATTTACCTTATTTTTTATTTCAAGTACTACGTTCTCATAACAAAAGTATTAACAAAATATCAAAATTATCAACCCATTTGTTTTCTCTGAACAAACTTCAAATATATGTATTGATGCACTATTCCTCTAATCTGTATATTACTCATTTAGCTGGTGAGAGATCTTATATTTTCATTCCTGATACTACGTATTAAGATAAACATCTCAGTCTTTTTTTTCTACGTACAACAATCCATCTCTATACGAAAACGATGATAGCTGTCCTTCGTCTAATATAACTGTGTCGTTCATCTCCCTTATACTAGTGTATTATTTAGATGATCACATTATTTATTCATATATATATATTGTGAATTAATAGGCCAAAGGGAGACCACTCATCTCAATATATAAAATATTATACATGTAACCTGTCAGATTGTTGCGGGGAGGAAGTTTTTATCTAACCTACTCCAACACTTGCCTCTAGAAGGACTATGATTGTTTGTCGATGACGCCCACATTAACTTGTACTGACTACAGACTACTTCGAATATTGAGCCCTGACGCTGAAAGTGGTTGAGTGTAGGTGAATGAAGGTAGTGAATGATTGATTTTCTTCCTTTATTTTCAACCATATTTGGTATAATCTTGTTTAGTAGACGCTGTTCTCAAAAGTATAGCCCTAAGCCCGGAAAACTGGTTAATATCAAAGCAGCTGCGATCCAGATAACGTTAAGTCCGGACGAATTATAACAGAACATAATGGATTCCAAGTTAAAGCTGAGTGCTTTATGTTATTGTATGACAGATATATTTTGGTATCTAAGTAGCGATAGGAAAACTGATCACAAACCATCAGTAATTATAACTCGTATTAACGTCAAATTCAGGTAAGTACGTTATTGACCAATATTAGACGTAAAAAACATAAATATACCGACGTCATAATGATGTCAGATATTACGTCAAATCTATGTCTAATCGAGACTATGGTGGTGTACATGATGCTTTGTCAATACGTTTGTGTCTTTTTTAAATGTGTAATCCTGTACATATGCACACACGTACTTTAATATTATTACTTAGGCGTATACCATGAGTTATACCACAGTCATTAGCTGGTGAGTGAACTTTGCTTTTAAGAATTAAATATTCATTTTGCTTCAGATAGTGACTAATACAATTGTACACAAGCCCAAATTGTGTTTTATAACAATACAATTGTTCAGCTCGCATGGGATAAATACTCTCTTTTTTGATATGTGGGTATACATCATGTTTGTGAAAAACTTATCTAAATGTCCTTGTCTAGGCATATTCAGAAACAAGTTAAGGAAACGAAACTTTGGACAATTCAAAAGGTTGTCATTTAACTTCCGGAGATCGTGTGTACACACAATGCACGTGACATGTAGCAGGAAATAAGTCAGTCTGCAACATCCGTGTTATAATCTGATTATGCACATACGCGAACAGGTTACAAAATATTATCTAAAGCAAACAAATGCTTTCCTGTTCTTGTTCAGTATTATACTCTCAGTCATTTGCTTCTCGTTCTTTCTGTTATGAAGAGTGGACATGTGGACTATGTTGAAGATACAAATCTTACTTAATCACGAAAGGTAATTATTTATTGATTTTTGGCCCATATGTTATAAGTTGCAGATAGGCCAATTTGTACCGTTTTTTCTTCCATTTGTATAAACTTGATATACTAACTACTATTATCAGAACATAAGCAATGCAGTACTGTTTACCATAATGGCATTGATGCTTATTATTTTGTTCGAATGCTATTATTTGTTTAACCGAACATTATGATATCTGCCCGGACACAATTAGAGATATACTTATTTTTACCTCTGGAACCTTTTTATAACCTTTTCACAAAATGATTTCTGATAATATAATTTGATACTCCTAATGAACAATTCATGTAGAGAAAATGTCAAAAGACAATGTGTTTTTAGCGTTTCTTAATCAGTAATGAAGAAATTCTTAACTGCACAACTATAAGTTTTAGCGACAGTTGTCGGTAAACTTCTATAACGAAAAAAACATGTCTTTCCAGTCGAGGGGAGAATATAAATTCTTGCTTTATTCACCTTACGTCTTTAGAAAACAAGAATCGGTATTCATTCTGAATCAATAACATCTTACAAACAACATCTTAAACATCGTTAAAAAGAGTATTTATTTTACTGCATACTCTAATTAAACCTGTTCTTTTTAATGAAATCAAACTGTGAACAGAAATATCCCAATATATTTATTAATTACGATACTTCTAATTTTTGAATGCGATGTTATGTGAAAATTCAAAGCTACATGCAGGTGTGAAACCAGACTTACTGACACTGTGTTTTCGGTCAACATGGTAGGGCTATACATGTTACTTCTCACTGAAAGGCCCGGATACTGTACTATTTAGGTCAAAGCTTTATGTTTGCCTACTTTCCTGAAAAGTTTCTAGACATGTTATTATCAACTACGTAACCTTCCGGTAGAACATATCTATTTTTAGTATCTAATCGAATTTAAGGGTGTCATTTGATTTAAATGCAATACATACTTCTTAATGAAACGAATTTCGAATAAGTAATATTTTGCAAACAGACATTAATAATAAATTTTA